TCATCTTTTTTGTTTATACAAAGGTATTAATTATGTTGCTGGGACGTGAGGTAATTCAGAAAACGTTCCTAACATACAGGGCACTACAAATTCTCATGTAACATTAAAATACCAGTAACACCTAGATGGGGGGAACTTTAGAGGAAATTTTTGTTGCACAGCTGGCTTGTGAACATCTGAGTTGTTTCTGCAGTTTAACTAATTTAGTGTATTTCTCCTCTTAAAATTTGAGACTTGCCTCATAAATCTAATGAAGATTATAACTTTAAGGTATTGCTTTTCTTTTAACCCTGCAGACGAGTGATTTCTGAGTTTGTCAGATCTTCTAAGTTTTACCTAGCTAGTTTAATGAGAGTTCTACTGCTTTATGTAATTTTTTCAAACTATAGAAAAATCAGGAATGCAGGCTAAGGTAGTGTCTTGATGTTCAATACAGATAACTAATGTCAGGAGGTATTACAGATTTTTGAAGGCGGAAGAGCTAGTGCTTTGTCCCTGTGCCTTATGGTCCATTAGTACTTTCTCTGGGAAGAGTTTTTTGGTCCATAAATGCTAAGCAGTATGGAGACACATGGTGTTATTGTGAAGGTAAATGGACAACACAAGTATTTTGGCACTGCTTGCTGTCCCACTAGATTGTTTTGTAAGCAGTAGTAAATTCCTGACTGATTGGATTTAGTTTATACAGACCTTGGCATAAGGGAAAATGTAAAATATATCTTGTACTCTAAGAATGATAACACTGCATCACTGAAGGAATAGCTAGTACTCTTAAATTGTTCCTATCCAAAAGAGCATAATATTACTTCCTCTTGAATACAAGACGGTAACAAACAATGCCTTTTGTGGGCTTACTGTTTTTGCTTCTGCAAAGCAGCAGTGGAGAGACAGCTAGTCATTTGTCCTCTGAAATCTCTGAGATTGTTGGAGCGTAACTGCAGGGAAGATACTTTGCTGACTTGTGGAAGGATGGGAACACCAATTAAGAATTCAGTCTAGTTAATGTGTCTGAATATTCAGCTGCTGAAGAATATTTCACTTCATGTCTCTTTTTTTTTTGTTGTTTGTTTTTTCCGAAGGAGAAAACTGTTTATTCTAGCTATGATTCTGTTGCTCTGTGCGACCTTTAGGTGGCTCTCCCCCCACCCCACCCCACCCCTCCATTTTCCTGTAAAGAGATTTTCCTTGCTGGATATCTCAGCTGAAGTTGGCAATAATCAACAGATCTGAACTTCCTGCTCATGGATGTGACCTTCCCCACCCTTTGTCAACTCAGTGCTGACAAGGGAGGACACTAAAGAAGGAAATTCTGAATCTGTTAACTTGGATAAGAACAAAGTGTTACTTTGAGTTTAACTAAACCACTGGAAGAACGAGAAGCAGAGTTGAAGCTCACCTGCTTATTGGATAATCAAATGTTGGTTATTTTGTTGTAACTTAATAGTATAGCTGTTCGTTTTCCCTCATCAGGTTTCCTTGTGTTACTGTAGTCAGCTTCCTTAAGCCAGTCTTAATTTTCTGCAGTGTATGAGCTGAGAGCGGAATCCTGAATGAGGTTTTCATGTTATTTCTGCAACACTGCCGTGCTGAAATAGGAGTGAGCTAACATAGTAACTGCCACTGTGGAAATCCTGTTGTACAACCAGGTGGGACCTACGGAGTCATGCTGAGGCAGTAGTAGTCTAAATATTCTAGTAAGTTCAGTCTGGCAATGTAGCGCTCTGCAGCGGTGCGGGGGGGTGAAGCTTAAAATGGACCACGTGGACAATGAGCTGAGTGGACAGTGAAGAGATAGAAAGTAACAGAAGCCTTGGGGTAGAAATCCTATTTTCTATTACTGGTTATAATATCAGAGCTCTAGTTTGAAGAGCGTTGTCCTATGTGCTGTCAACAGTAAGGTATGTGTTGATATGCATTTATGCATTTCTTTGCTATCTGTATTTCCATCAGTGTAAACATCCCATATAGATATATAGCATTTCTGGGTCATCGAAGCTAAACAGCATGAAATTGGGGTACAGTGGGCTAGTTTGACCTGTTACATTAGCTTGCAATAGGAAAATACAGTGAGTTTGTCACTACTAGAACTAGTTAGTCCTAAAGGAAATTAAACTCTTAATTCAAGAGCCCACCTCTGAGGCTTTTTTCTTAGCAGTAGCATCTTTTCAATCTTCACCAATAGCTGATTTCATGGTTCAGGAGGGAAGATATAAAATGATGGAGAAGAAGAGAGACGAAAACCTGGAAATAAGTAAGACTGACTTTGACTTACATTTACATGATTTAGCATTTCCTAAAGTATCACCTGTTGAAGCGTACATCAGCAGTCTGTTGATGAAGAAGGGATTTCTCTCTCCTCGCCCCTACCTGTCACTTGATTTGACTCTCCCTCTCTCCCTGACCATGAACAGTGCCCCTTCATCTTCTAAAATAGAATGGGCAAATGTCTTTGAATCAAATAGGCATTATACAGCTAAGGTGCCTCCAAGCATTGGAATTTGCAATTAAAAGGAAAATTTCAAAGCGTAAGCGGTAAACAAATGTCATGCTTTGTATGCATAGTGCGGTTTTCTTTTTTAAAAGCTGTTGTAGAATTAGTGTAATACTTACAAATATGTTAATATTACCATCTTTATGAAGACATTTTAGGTGTTTTAAAGTCAGTACATGCCAAGGTGGCAGTCGTTTTGAGGAAAATATTTTACAAAACTTTATGCTATTTCTGTCCCTTAGCATCTTATTACATTCCCTTATTTTCTTAATCTTATCATCAACTTTGTTTCATTGTTGTCCTGAAAAAGGGAATGCTGGTTAGAGTTCTGTTGTGTATCCCCAGAGAACTAATGCATCTTTCAAGGTTTTATTTTGAATGCAAGTCTGTTGTTCTACTTGAGGCTTTATTCAGATGTTTCTTTTAAAAGCAGCTGTCTTTGTGTTTCTCTCATCTTCTCTAGAATGAATGTGTCTTTAAGTGGAGTTACTTGGAGTCATAATTCTGTTACAGAAAGCTTGTAAAAATTTGTTTGAGTTTCAAGCAAGCTTTGTTCTCATTAGAAATACGGGTCTGAGATTTGAAGGGCATACAGATTTCATAACTGAGCCCAGTCAGAGTTGAACCCACCTGTGGAAACCATTGCACAACTTTCACTGTGAATGGTTTCGTTTATCAGTGTATTTGACAGCACATCACATGCAAGTCTTCAGACAGGCCATGCAGTCTTTAGATTGCACCAGAGATTTAGCAATGCAGAGAAAGCTGATAGGCTTCCATTTGAAACGGTCATAACCCTGGTGATTGCTGCTGCTTAGTGATAAAAAGGTGACAAATAAGACTAACTTCTTTGGTGAAATAGCAGAATTTCACAGAACCAAATAATACCAGTAGCCTTGCGTGCTGTGTTACTGAGTGGCAACAAGTCATTTCTGCCTTAATATGACTAATTTAAAAACAAGTTCTGCTGCGTCAGAATTCAAGACAAAGAGGGTTGGAGTAGCTATTTTATAATCTGCAACTCTGCAATAATAGGATGTTCTATCCTGTGGAATTTTCTACTCTTACACACTGAGGTTGTCAGTGCACTTTAATTTTCACAATAGCAGCTGAAATAAACTACCCCTGGAGATCATGCAGTGCTGCTTTTCTGTGGAGAAGCACGAATGTAAACTGTGGGCAGTCTTGACTTGACAGCTGTGCTGACAAACCAAAAAAAGATGCTTTTTGCACTAGACAGATGTCTAAGTGTTGGAAATTTTCCAGTGAGAAGCAGAAAAGCTTTATTCTTCCAGTATTTTCATGTCACATGAAGTATGGTTTAAATGAAAGGAATGTTTTCTGATGGGGAATGTTATTGCAGAGCTTTTTAGCATGCAGAGGATTAGCTTGCTAATCACCTCTCTGAGTAACTAGATTCTACCAGTTGTACAGGAAAATTCTTTGTTGTGAATAACGAGGATAGTGATTAAGGAAACTAGTTATTACTTTAACTTCATTTGTTGTATTTGCATGGTGCAAGCAGTGCCAGAATGTCTCCTGCATTTGCATGTATTTTGTTATAATATTTATCAAATATGCACGTGACATTCATCAATAACTTTTTTTGAGAGACAGACGTTGTCAAGGATCTCATCCAAATGAAAAACAATATAAGGAGAAGGTTACATTAAAAAATACACAATATAGAAGACAGCTCTTCATAGCAGAATTTATACTTGGTATACACTGTGGAGTTTTGTCCTGGAAATTCTAGTTGGCAACATCAGTAATTCAGTAAATGCTGAAACTTGCAAGCAGATTCTTCTCTTGTCATTAAAGTACAAAGTTGATTTTGCAAATTCTTTTCCTTTTTTGCGGAAGCTAATAGTCTGCGTTGGGTTTTTTCGCACACATGGTGTTCCATGGCATGTTCCATCTTCTATATTTGAATCCTTCATTCTGTTAAAATTCGCTTGGATGATGAAGAGGGTGTTTCTTATAGCAGGCAATAAGTTGGACTTGATTCCTGCTTTCCTCACCATGGTCATTTAGAATTAGAGAGCGTGATCAAGGATGGCTTGCTTATGCCTTGTACTACATTGTTGGGTGGCACTGTAAGGCATGCTTTGTGATTTGAGGCAGTTGCAGTATTAGGAATGTTTTATGCTGAAAAACAGATAATCATGGACACATAGTTGACTGTATAAAGATGGACTAAGGGTTATGGCTGATACTATTCCATGTGTTTGTACTTACTGCTTTGTTGAGTATTTGATAATGATGGGCATAGATTTTGTTTGTACTTTGTGAAGAGGTTCGTGCTTTGAGAATTATTTCATTTGTGATCCCAGTGGTTGTGCAGATTATTTTAACTGAAGCTTCATTAGCAAACTACTCCCCTCCCTTGCCAAATTTAAGCATAACATTGAGGGATGTACTACAGGTTAAACATACCAAAATGTCATGCTGTATTTCACTACACTGGATGAAGGATTTATTTTCTCCTTTTTAGGTACTCTTCCACTCATCAAGATGGAAAGCTCAGATTCTAGTGATAAAGGAAATATTGATCAATCAGAAGCACAACGTCAGAGTCAGCTAGATCGGTTAGATCGAGAAGAAGCTTTCTATCAGTTTGTAAACAACCTGAGTGAAGAGGACTACAGGCTTATGAGAGATAACAATTTGCTAGGAACACCAGGTAGGTAATGCTTGTGTATGTACATCTGGCTAGAATTGCTTGTAGGCAATTTTTGTCATTTTCTGTTCTCCTGAAACTGTTTCACCCATTTAGTTTGTTTGCTGCAGTTGTGTTCCATGGTACGAAGTAGCTTCTTGCTAATCTGTGCATACTCAAATTTGAGTGATCCCCTGACTAGTGGAGGGGTAGTTAGGATGATGTGGATTCATGAGATACAAAAGTCTAGTGTTTACACAACTTGGGGGGGAAAACACAGAGCTGACCAAGTTCCAGTTATGTATCCTTACACGTTTTTGATTGAAAAGTAATCTCCCTTAAGCATCTGTGTGAAAACTTTGTGCTGGTGAGGTTAAGAGTTTGTAACTAGGATAAGCAGTCTGGTGTGAGATTCTGCATGGGCTTTTTTCTGTCAGTTTTCAATTGACTTATTCCTTTAAATTGACTCTTTATAGGATGATACCTAATTCAAAGCATTTCTAATTTAAAACATGACTTCAACTAATTTAAACCATTTTTCATGCTTGTGAAGGTGTTATCTTAAATATTTTACTCTGGACAGCCATTTAATTGGCATAGGATGATGAAAATTGCTGATAAGTTGTAGAGGTTACAGAACCAGAAAGCACATCTGTCTTGAATAGGTTGAAATTGTTGGATCTTTTCAGCAAAACTTAGTTGGGACAACGGTGCTGAAGTGTCTGAACTTCCCATTAGCAACCTGTTTGGCAGTCTCGTTATGGCAGGATTTAATTAGAAAAAAAGACAAGCAGTGGCTTGTACCTTCTTTAGAAGCTTTTGATAATGCTTGCCATACATATGATTTGGAAATATTTTTGGAAAATTTTGCTTATTTTCTAAGGTGAAATTACTGAAGAAGAGTTGCTGAGAAGGCTACACCAAGTTAAAGAAGGTCCGCCACAGCAAAACAGTGATGAGAATAGAGGTATATACAGTATTTGTGAAAACTCTTAACTTTAGCACCCCATACGGACCTTAACTTGAGTGCAGGAGTGGAACAAGTTAAGCCTAGGCAGGTGCAAGGTGAGCTTTGTTTTAAAACTAAGTGAACATTATGTCTGATATCTGCTGCAGAGGTCAGTTTGGGACAGATTTCACTCATAACGCATCTGTTATTTACATCAAGATAAAGTTTCATTTAGGTTTCTTTTTTTTAATTTATTTAAGATTGCCTTCCTGTCTGCTCCCCTCTGGGGTGCTTTTTGGCAATCCCTCTTTTTAATTCACTGTTCTTCCCTTCTAAAGATGCTATATTGCTTTCCTTGTCACCCTTCTGTAGAGATCAGTGGAGGACGCTTGGAGCTTATTGTTGGGGTTCATTCTTTAGTGAGATAGATTTGCTATAAAGCCATTCTTAAAGTGAAGGGTCAGGAGAAACTTAGTTCTGTGTTCAGTTTTGGGCGGTGCAGTATTAGAAGGACATTGAGCTGCTGGAGAGGGTCCAGAGGAGGGCAATGAAGCTGGTGAAGGGTCTTGAGAATAAATCTTATGAGGACTGGCTGAGGGACTTGGGGTTGTTTAGTCTGAAGAAAAGGAGGCTGAGGGGAGACCTTATCGCTCTCTACAGCTACCTGAAAGGAGGGTGTAGAGAGGTGGGCATTGGTCTCTTCTCACAAGTTTCAACCGTAAGGACAAGAGGAGATGGCGTCAAGTTGTGCCAGGGGAGGTTTGTAAGGACAAGAGGAGATGGCGTCACGTTGTGCCAGGGGAGGTTTAGGTTAGGCATTAGGAAAAACTACACCGAAAGGGTTATCGAACACTGGAACAGGCTGCCTGGGGAAGTGGTTGAATCACCATCCTTGGATGTGTGTAAAAGCCATCTAGATATGGTGCTTGGGGACATGGTTTAGAAGTGGGCCTGGTAGAATTAGGTAACAGTTGGACTTGATGATCTTAAAGGTCTTTTCCAGCCATAAGGATTCTATGATTTAGCAGCCGATAGATCACTTAATTGTTTGAAAAGGAAAACGCAGAATATTGATGTGTTATGGCACCTGAAATGTGCCTTTCTGTTTACTCATGATAAAAAAAACATGTATTTTGATGACTTGTTTGTTATGCGATGGCTGCAGCCTATCTACATATTAGAAAAAAGTCCACTCCTGCTCCCTTAAAAGAGCTCTGGTAGATAGATAATTGCGATGCTATATGTGAAACCACAATAGCAGTTGGTAGGATTAAGCACTGCTAAGTTGTCACTTGTTAAACTAAGCAATTATGTTCTTGGAAAAGATCACTCAAAACTAGCTCAGTACTCTAATTTTGGTAGTTCCCTGTCTTTTTCACAGGTGCAGAGTCCGCAGAAGATGTTTCAAATGGAGATTCTATAATAGACTGGCTTAATTCAGTCCGACAGACTGGAAATACAACACGAAGTGGGCAACGAGGAAACCAGTCTTGGAGAGCAGTGAGCCGGACTAATCCAAATAGTGGTGACTTCAGATTCAGTTTGGAAATAAATGTCAACCGTAATAATGGGAACACAAATCCAGAAACTGAGAACGAGCCATCTGTAGAGCCTTCCAGTGGGGAGGATTTGGAAAACAGCCAAAGTGACTCTGAAATTCCAAGGTCTGAATCGCCATCTGTAAGGCAGCCTGGATCAGAAAGGAGCACTTCGGAGGAGCTAACAACTGAGGAAGCTTCCCCTCCTAGAGGGCAGAGGAGAGCGAGAAGTAGGAGTCCAGAACAGCGGAGAACGCGGGCTAGGACTGATAGAAGTAGGTCACCTATTAATCCAGTGAGTGAGACTCCTCGCAGGTCTCATCACAATACATCATCTCAAACACTTGACCACTCCTCAGTGAATGAAGCCGAGGGAAGCTCTAGAACTAGGCAGCATGTGACGTTAAGGCAGCATACAGTGGGGACTGAGATGCCAAGTGAAAATGCAGTTCTGTTTTCAGCCCCTGAAACAAGACCTGTTCCTCAAGCAGCAGGTTCTTCAGAAACTAACGGCACCAGTGAGTCCGCAACTCCTGGGCAGAGGCCTCCTACCATAGTACTTGATCTTCAGGTGAGAAGAGTTCGTCCAGGAGAATATCGGCAAAGAGACAGCATAGCCAACAGAACTCGGTCCAGGTCCCAGACACCTAACAACACAGTCACTTATGAAAGTGAACGGGGAGGGTTTAGGCGCACGTTTTCACGGTCAGAACGGGCTGGAGTGAGAACTTACGTCAGTACCATTAGGATTCCTATCCGTAGGATTTTAAACACGGGCTTGAGTGAGACTACATCGGTTGCTATTCAGACTATGCTAAGGCAGATAATGACAGGCTTCGGAGAGCTGAGTTACTTTATGTATAGTGATAGTGATGCAGATCCTAGTGGCCCAACTCCAAATCAGAATGTGGATGCTTCTGAGCCACAGAATGGAGGTGGCGGTACTTCAAGCAATGAAGGTACAGATGTTGGCTCAGGGGAGGTGTATGAAGGTGGTAACGAAGGTGGTTCAACCTCTGGTGCCAGACGGGAAGGTCGGAATACGAGGGGATCGGTCACATTTGAAGAAAGTGGTTCTCTACCATTCCTTAGCCTAGCACAATTTTTCTTACTAAACGAAGATGACGATGACCAACCAAGAGGACTCACCAAAGAACAAATTGACAACCTAGCGATGAGGAATTTTGGTGAGAGCGATGCTCTGAAAACCTGTAGTGTGTGTATTACAGAGTACACGGAAGGCAACAAGCTCCGTAAATTGCCTTGTTCGCACGAGTATCATGTCCACTGCATTGATCGCTGGTTATCAGAAAATTCCACTTGTCCCATTTGTCGCAGAGCCGTCTTAGCTTCTGGTAACAGAGAGAGCGTTGTCTAAATGAGATCTGAATTTCTGGCCGAGCAGCTAGTGTGATAGTGATGGGCAAAGAAGTCACTTCCTTTATGGCCACTTTTTGAGTGGTACCTCAATGTATAGTAATGACTTGGAGTGAATCTTCCCTCATGAAAGCATTTTCTCTGACTTCAAGCTTTTAAAATTGGAAAATTTCTTTAATTAGGGTTATCAAGATCTAGTCAGTTTGGGTGTTAAATTTCCCTTGTCCAAAGACATCTACCCACTTCAAAATATTTTTTTGCTTTGTGAAGAGTATTAAGTTCTTTTCTCCCACCCAGTCCCTGCCATCCCAGTCCAATAAATGTGTTGTCCTCAAGATTGTGCTTACGAGGAGTTCTTTGAGAAGTCATCCCAGCTAAATGTGCATGAGTGGCAGAGGAATTTTTGCAAGAAATCCAACTATCTGAAAAAAATAATACGAGTTCAATTGCACACTTGAACATACTTTTAATTTTCATACTGGCTTAATATTGGACATGTCTGTGTAAATAACACTAATGTTAGCCCTTTCCCCATCACTATGGCACGCTGTAGGATGAGCTGTTAGCTTAATTGGGATATTTATCTTGTTGTGGAAATATAAGAATTGCCTATGCTTGTTTAAATAAAAAAAAAAATCTGTTTTAAAATTGTAAAGCTTTTTTGTAGAAGCTCAGTACTTTTCCAATGCACTGTTGTACTAACGCATTAAGAATTAAAATTGTACCATGCTTAGAAATCAAGGATGCTTTTCATACAAAACCCCACCACACGGAGAGCAAACTAAATCCAAGAGAGCTGCTTTTGTAACTGTGTACCTGTCAAGAGCAGTGCATATCTGTACTATTTATGTGAACAGCTACTGTAATATAAAAACAGTTGAATTAGACATCTTAATTGCATTAAAAAAAAATGGAAATTAAATGTTATAATTGCAGTGTTTTGGCTCAGTAATGCCATGAAAAAAGGCGATAAAAATTAGAAACTGTTCTAATGGCTGGTTATTTCTTGGTGTGGTTACTGATACGTAATAATACAAACCGGTATGTACCAGTTCATTCAGTGAGGTTTATGCCCAATTTTTCTATCAACTTTTACTTTCTGTTTTTGAGGCAATGCTGTGGAACTATTCAGCAGACGAGTATTGACAGGTGGTTTTTTTTTCCTTCCCCACCAGCTTCAACTATATTGGTAACCTCTGCATCCGTTGAGTGAGCATGCGGATACATCCGGCGTTGGTAGCCTGTGACTCGGGTGCCACAGGAAAAATATATTAAGTATTAAATGGAAACCAGATTATTAGTGTTAGGTTAAATTTTAAAAATATAATTGATTATGGGGGTACACTTGAATGTGTAGCTGATTCTAGGAATAACTATACTGCTATTGGACAGATTAAAATGAGTTGAATTTACTTTATGTACGTGGCATATTGAAATTGAGAATTGGAGAATGTGCCTCAGCTCTCATGAGTGTCAGGGGAAAACAACCTTCCCCCTCAATGACCCGTTCTTTGTTTTATTTTCTAATGATTTATTTTTTCTAACTTACATGTGCAGCAGGGAAGGCAATATTTATTTCAACTCCAGGGCAGTAGTTACGAAGGGATATGAACTGCTCTTGCTGGCTATATGGGAAATGTTACTTGTTCCTCAGATGACAAAACCAAAGCTGGCCTATCTCTTTTTTCCTAATTAAAACACATTTCTGGTGTTTTATAGTGGTGGTTGCATAAACTATAGTCTCTGCTCTAAGCCATTTTAGCATCTCATCAGCTAGTTAAGGATTCCACAATGTTCCAAAATTCTGATTTTTTTTTTTTTTTTTTCCTGCGTGTGTGTTTTGTGGTGTTTGGCTTAGTGGGAAACCCTGACTGGCTGTTGAGCTCGCTTTCCTCCTGGTGGGATGCACCACCGTGGCAGAGGGGATACGCGTATTCTTTTTGAACAGGAGAATAAATAAGCTCATATTTTTGAATTGTTCCCTCTGACGTGCATCACTGTAAAATTGGAAGTTAGCTATTAATTTCAGGTGCTGGACTCGCTATGCCAAAATTTCCTCAACAAAATAACACTTCTGACTTTCTGCCAGTAGCATTTCCATTGCAGATACGTGCTATCAGTTGCAGTTTCCAGTAGCTTTACTGACTTACTGGAGCATAGAATTAGGAGGAAAAAAAACCCCTCTCTACGTGAATACCATGTTAAATTTTGAAAGTCTGCCGTCCATCTCTGAGGATTAAAGCTGGTAACCAGAAAGAGAGCAGCCCACTAGTGCTAATGGATGTGAAGCACGGCTGTGATAGGTGTTGCTCAACATAGCTTTTTTTTCAGTGTTCTGAATTTCCAGTAACTGTTCACGTTCGTAGAATCAACTTTATACAGTTTTGTTATAGCTTAACAGTGGCATGCCTTAACATTTTATCTTTCTGTAACAATAACAACTAATAAAACGTTGGAGGTTTCCCGAATGGTACTAAGAACAAAGAATTTAACCTCAGATCAGGAGACCTTGAATGTTCTCAATGTTTTGTACGCCGTTTCCACTGCCGAGCTTGCTTGAAGGCGCTGGGGGTGCCGTTGCCTGATGTCTGGAGGAGGCGGCAGAAGTGAAATTGCTGATACAGCAAAGACCTCTTTATGTATCTGTCAGCCTCTCGGGTAATTAATTTTCTGTTCTTTTAAAGTTAGATTGGAGTTAGGGAATGCCAACATTAACCCTTCAGTTGCTAACGAAATATGAAAGACACTTAACGACGTTCACAATTAGCCTAACATACAGTTTATGAATTATTTTGGTATTTTGTACTTATGGCTTCCCTCAGTTCAGGCTTTGCTGGTATTACAGGAGGGATACAGCCACTTAACTCACGCGTGGAGCTACCGGACGGGTTAAAATGACTAATTTTGCCCTTTTCAAAGGGATTCAGAGCTGGTGGCTCTGAAGAGGCAGGGACAGCCCTCTTGCCTGGCTCACAGTGCCACCGTGTGGGAGCCTCTCCGCCTTCAAAGCTGGGAGAACCCCTTCTCCCTTGCAGCAGCCATGGGTGCTTTTGCACTGAAGACTGGTGCTTTATTTTATTTTTGGAGGCGTTTCCCCATTACTGCTGGCCTCGGTAGTTACCGTGGTGGGGTTTTCGAACTGCAAACCCCCAAACTCCTGCTGGGAATATCTGCGTGAACTTCATTCCTTTCTGACAGGACAGTCCAGTACCCGCGGCACCTCCATACGCAGCAATTAAAGCAGTGACGAGGCCAAAACTTAGAAGAACGCATGGTATTTTGTGTTCAAGAGTGCGTTTGATAGTTTAACTCAGATTGTGAACCCATATGGAGTTGCTGGTGCTGACTTACTTTTTTTTTCTTTTTTTTTAATTGGGGCTTTATTCGGTAAAAGGCTGTGAAAAGTTATTCCTGGAGTTTGTTAGATTTCCCTTTCACGTGCGCTTTTTTATTTCTTCGAACAAGTTGGGTTTTTGGCAAAGAACTTGTAGGCAGTTAATTGATTTGTTTTAAAGATGATTTGATTAGTGTAGGTACTGCATGCGTAGTAATTACTCATTAAAAGTTTAAAGAGGCTTTGTAGGAAGTATTGATGTGCAGGCACAGCAGCTGCACTGACATGATATGGGACCGGTTTTGAAGGAGCCATAATTGTCCATTGTGTCAACTTGCAAACGAATGGATTTCCCACCAAAGTTGGCACAATGGACCATAATGACTGTCATTCCCGTTTCCTGTCACTTGTCTGGATTATGCAAATGCGGAGAGTCCAAAGGACTCTTCCCCTGGTGTATCTGCAGGCCATGTTTGTCTTGAAACGGTTGCCTACACAAAGAGGGGGCTTCCCAGTGGTCTTATGAGGATCTAAGATGAGAAAAGACCTGCAGTTCAGGCTGTCCGTCGCTCTCTGGCTTGTGGCAGTGTGATGAGGGGTTTTCTGAGTCTCCCAGGGTGATCTTCACCATCACACTGCACCACAAAGCTTCGTCCCCTCAGCTTACCCGCAGCCTTGCCTTTGCTTTGGGAGCCTTGTCAGAAACGTGGACCTTCGTGGAACTGTCTGAGGCCTCGGTTTTCTCATCCTTGCTCCTGCCGCGGGGGCTGGCGTTGCTTGAGCAGGGGCACGCGGGCAAGCGTGGACCTGGTGGCAATGTCTGCCTGCTCCTCTGCCTTCTCCCAGGAGGAGGTGCTTTGGAGGAGGGCTGGCTTGCAGCCACGGCGAGGGAATTTCGAACAAATTCAGACATATTTCCAACCTTTACATACGCTCGGCCTTTTTGTTTGCTTCTCCTTGACTAGGGAGGGAAGAAGGAGGGTGAAGAGAGAGAATCAATGGTCACTTACCCAAAGTAACTAAAAGCTGTGTTGTGTTCATAAAGAAAAGGAGTCTGCATCTGTTATACCAGGGCTTCCCAACCTCTTTTTGGGATGAGGTCTCTCTTTTTTTTTCTTTTTGTTATGGGGAAACATACCATTGGATTCATTTTTGATTGTTTTATCTGGTTTTGTTCCCATAAGCTAAAATACCCGAGAACCCTTCTGGAGTTTCACTGTCTGCTGGTAAGGCTCTTGGTTGGGAAGCCCTGAATTCAGCTGAGAATGTAACAGGGTTCTTTTTTGCCTTTTTTTTCCCCTTTTTCCCTTTTTTTTTTTTTTGTACAGTGCTTTACATCTGTTTATACTGGACTTGCTTAATACAAAACGGTACTCTGAGGTCATCGGACTACGGTTTGACCCGATTTGATAGCTAACAATTAGGAGGAGTTTGTTCCCTATGTAAGATGTCGTAATGCAAATTTAAATAGACTCAATAAAATGCATGAAGTGTTCATTTTGTGCTTGAGCATCACTCCTTGGGTTTGTTCTTCTGGCGGTGGGAATGTGCTGGAGTAAACGACGGTGGATGTGGTAGGAATGTATTTCCTCCGGACACCTTTTCCCTTGAGGCTGGGCAGAAAGGAGAGAGCCGGAATGGTATAAAGTTATCTTCTCGGAAGAATTTATGGCTCCTTAGTACATAAAACTGAAGCAATAAATCTCACCATGTCCCAGACTTCTGTAAATCTGTCAGTGGATAATGTGGGATACCGGAGCAGTGTCTGCAAGTTGTCTTTCAAGTAGTAGCTGTGATTTTTACGGGTGCTCGTCAGGACCAGGGCCCGGTGGTCGGGGCCTTCAGGGCTGAGTCTCCCTAGAAATACGCTTTGCAGTGTTCAGCGGCTTTCGGGAGAAGCTCTCACATGTGGCTAAAAGCTTCGTCCTAAAATTAGTAGCTGATGTACGTGCAAATGCTTACTTGAGTGGGAAGGAAATTTTTTAGGGCGTGGGAAGCTCT